TGAGATGATCATATGGTTTCTGTTAGTTTTGTGATTGATATGATCACTTATGCTGAGAGTTTTCCTAATATTGAATTAGCCCTGCATTCCTGGTATAAATCCTACCTGGTCATAGTGTATTGTTCTTGTGGTAAGTTGCTATAATATATTTGCCAATATTTTCTTTAAAACTTTTGCATCTGTATTCATTAGAAAAATGGTCTATAATTTTCTTTCTCCATTTTGACTCTTCCCAACTTAGGTATCAGCACCTTCTCTGCATCATGAAAAGAATTTGGTAAGACACCTTCTTCACCTATTTTCCCAAATAATCCACATAGTAATGGAATTAATTGTTCTTTAAATGTTTGATAAAATTTCCTTCTAAATCCATCTGGCCCTGGAGATTTTTTCTTAGGGAGTTTATTAATGGTTTGTTCAATTTCTTTTTCTGAGATAGGGTTAAGTATTTTACTTCCTCTTCTGTTAATCTGGACAATTTATATTTTTGTAAATATTCATCCATTTCACTAACAATGTCAAATTTATTGGCATACAGTTGGGCAAAACAGTTCCTAATTATTGTTTTAATTTCCTCTTCATTGGTGGTGGATTCATACTTTTCATTTTTGATACTGGTAATTTCATTTGCTTCTTTCTTTTTTAGAGTGAATTAACCAAAGGTTTATCTATATTATTTTTTTTCATAAAACCAGCTCTTAGTTTTATTTATTCAATAGCTTTCTTAATTTCAATTTTATCAATCTCTCCTTTGCTTTTCAGTATTTTTAATTTGGTATTTAATTGGGGATTTTTAATTTGTTCTTTTTCTAGTTTTTTTTAGGTGCATGTCTAATTCATTGATCTCCTCTTTCTCTATTTTATTCATGTAAGCATTTAGAGATATAAAACTTCCTCTAAGAACTGCTTTCGCTGCGTCCCATAAGTTTTGGTATATAGTCTCATTATTGTCATTCCATTGGATGAAGTTATTGATTGTTTCTATGATTTGTTGTTTGACCCACTCCTTCTATAGGATTAGATTGTGTAATTTCCAATTAATTTCAGTGTATCTTTCCATGGCCCTTTATTACATGTCATTTTTATTGCATCGTGATCTGAAAATGATGCATTTAATATTTCTGTCTTTCTGCACTGGATTGTTAGAGTTTTATGCCCCAGTACATTGTTAGTTTTTGTGTATATGCCATGTACTGCTGAGAAAAAAAAATTCCTTTCCATCCCCATTCAATTTTCTCCAGAGGTCTACCACATCTAACTTTTCTAAGATTATATTCGTCTCCTTAACTTCTTTCTTATTTATTTTGTGGTTAGATTTATCTAGTTCAAAGAAGGGGAGGTTGAGGTCCCCCTACTAGTATAGTTTTCCTGTCTATTTCTTCCTGTAATTCCCTGAACTTCTCCTCTAAGAATCTGGATGCTATACCATTTGGTGCATATATGTTTAGTAATGATAATACTTCATTGTCTATGGTACCATTTTGCAGGATGTAGTTTCCTTCCTTGTCTCTTTCGATAAGATCTATTTTTGCATTTGCTTTGTCCAAGATCAGGATTGTTACCCCTGCTTTTTTTATTTCACCTGAAGCATAATATATTATACTCCATCCTTTTATCTTTACCCTGAATGTGTCCCTCTGTTTCAAATGTGTTTCCTGTAAACAACATATTAGAGTATTTTGGTTTTTAATCCATTCTGCTATCTGCTTCCATTTTAGGGGGAGAGTTCATCCATTCTCATTCACAGTTATGATTACTATCTGTGTCTTTCTCTCCATCTTATTTCTCTCCATTTATGCTTTTCTTTCTCCTTTTAATTTTTCTCTGATGTATATAGGGACTAAAAATAAGAAATAAATTGCTGATTGAAAGGATATGCAGTTTCCTGACTTTTGAAGCACAGTTCCAAATGGCTTTCCAGAAGGACTCCACCAACATCATATTAATGTGCCAATTTTTCTGCAGCTCCATCAGTATGTGTCATTTTCTTATTTTATCATCTTTGCCAAATGAGAGTGAGATTTAGTTTTCATTTTTTTAATTAGTAGTGATTTGCAACAATTTTTCATATGGTTGTTCATAGATTTGATATTTTCCTTTGAGAAATATTTGTTCATAACATTTAACCATTTATCACTTCGTGAATAGCTCTAATAAATCTGGTTCAATTCCTTATAAATTTTGTCATTAATATTTTTATCAGAGAAAAATGATGCAAACACTTCCCACTAGGTAACTCTTTCCCTTCAAATTGTGGCAGCATTTAATTTGTTTCTACCAACAATTTTCAACTTTATGTATCAAAATTGCTCCCTTCATCTGCTGTGATTCTCTAAATATGTTTATTTTCATGAATTCTTTCCCAATTTGTAGATCTGAAGGGCAATCTCTTCCTTGTATCTTTACTTTGTATAGAACGTGACCTTTTATATCTGTCATATGTAAATTTGAAGCCAATCTTCATTAGGTGTGACGTGTTGGTCTTACCACTTTTTTTTTTTTGCCCAAATATTTCTTAGCTTTTCCAGCACATTTTTTTTTTGTCAAATAGTGACTTCCTACCACAATAGCTGGTGGGTTTCTTTGTGGGGGTTTTTTGGTACATGAAGCATTAGGCTATCAGATTAGCCTGTTTCTAATTTTAGTATACTTCATTTGACTGATCTACCTATTTCAAAATTAATAACAAATCATTTGGAGATCTGGTACTCCTAGGCTCTCTTCTTTTCCACTTTGTCATGATTTCCCTTGAGGATCTTGACATTTACAACTCCAGATTAATTTACTTGTCATTTTTTCTAGCACTATCAAGTAATCCTTAGATTTGTATGGCATTACATAAGTAAATGAATTGCAGTGGAATTATCATTTTATATTAGTTCAGCCTTCCTATGACCAATTAAGATTCCATTAATTATTTTGGTTAGTCTTAATTTCCATAAAGGGAACTGTTATATTCAAACAGTTCCTGTGTGAGTTGTGCTAGGTAGATTTCCAAACATTTTATATGTTCTATAAATTTCGTGGAATTTTTCTATCACTTACTGTTCACCATTGTTGGTAACATACAGAAACACTGATGACTTTGTTAAAGTTGGTAACTGAAAGACCATTTTTGGGTTAAGTAGTCATTAATATTTCCTCTACTGAAGTCCTCCTATTTTGCCTAGTCCCAGTATGGAGGTGATCCCGGACTGTCAAAGGATCTGGAAGCTCTCACCAGTATGGAAAGGCTTCCAAGAGAAGCTAGAGCATGTCCTTAGTATTTTGTGTGAGTTTAAGGGCAGAGAAGTCAGAAGGTATGCTATACAATGAGCTTTCTCACTATAAGTTCAACTAAATGAGTTTGTGCTAACCAATTACCAATCCATATAGGTCAAGTCAGTGAATACTTATAAAGTACTTAACCAACGTAGAGCGAAATATTAGGTTGTTCAGAAAGACATAAGGAGACTAAAAGATACAATCCCTGCTCACATAGAGTTCATACTCTAGAAGGGGAATAAGATAAATACACATTGATGACTCTTAAATAAAAAAGACATGATTGGTGTATCAGAAGGATTCATATAAAATCCTATGGGAGATCCTGAAGCATAAGATCATTGCTGATTGCAGGGAACAAGGTAGGCTTCATAAAGTAGGTGGGATTCAAGTTTGACTTTAGTGAATGGGTAGAAACTCAACAGGTAAAAAGGGGACCTTAAGGACACTCAAGGAATAGGGGACAGGAAACCAAAGCCACAATGTCAAAAAAGCACAGGGTTTGATATGGGACAGACAACTGTCCATGTGGCTCAGCCGTAACGTACATGGAGGGGAGTAGTAGGTGGATCAAGCTGAAGAGCTAAGGTGATGCCAGATCTGGAGGGTCTGCAGTCCCAGACAGACATGATGCTGTTTTCTACCACTTGGAAAAGCTTAGCTAGTTTATCTCTGCAGCCTCAAACCTAGGTGCTTCCGTTCTCTTGGTGGCATTGATGGTTATCAGACAAAAAGGGACAGGGTAGTGAGTGAAGAACAGGATCATCTCTGACTCCTATAATATTGAAGATGGAAACTAAGCCATCCATGAATTGATTACCCCTCACTCTGCTTGCCCAAGAGTGAGGATGTTTGAGTCGACTGTGGTGCTGAAGTTCAAAATATCAACTAAAGGACCTAGAGATGTTAGAGATTCATGTTTCTTGCTAAAGTAGTTCATGTCTGTTTTTTGTGAAGATGAGGTTGTCTGCTCTTCAGCAGAGAATAATTAAGTAGAAAGATGATTGGATTTAGAGTCAGAAGAGATGAGTAAGCATGTGACATACATGGTGACCTCAGATAAATCATGTCATTTCCCTCTACCTTAGTTTCCTCCTCTCTGCTGTAATAATAATGATAATGGCAGCAATACCTACCATTTATGTAGAACTGTAAATGTGCCCAAAATGCTTTAACTATATTAGCTCATTCGAGCCTCACAAAATCTTTGGTAAGTGTTTTATTATGCCCATTTTATGGACAAGGAAACTGAGGATGATAGAGGTGAAGTGATTTTCCAAGGACCCTACAAGCATTAAATGTGTAAGGGAGGTTTCAGATTCATTCTTCCTCACTCCAGTTCCTATCCCTCTATTCATTAAATTCCTTTCTTTCCCTAAATTCTATGACTTTATAATCTCTCAATCAAAGGAGCAGTCAGAGGAATAGCACTCCTGAGTACTTAAGAGTAGTGTGATGCTCTGAAAAAATCCCAAGAGTTTCATAAGTCTTCTCAAATCTAAGCCTAAACTGGCAAATATCTCAAAACTAATTCACACAGTGTTGTGCTAAATACTAGGGGGGACCACAAAGCACAATATTATGTCCTTGTTCAAAAGAAATTAAAATTTGAGTTAATGGAAATCTACTTACCTTGGAAAAACCAATATTAAAAAAAGAAAACAAAGAAACTCCAAGGCATTGAATTCAATTCAATTGAATTCACATTATGTTAATAAAATCCATCAAGCATTTATTTAGCACTCACTAGCGCAGACCTGTGCTAAGCCACAATAACATAGACAACAATAAAGCAGTCCTCATTCTAAACAATCTTTCATTCTACCAGACAGGTGTTTAGCTAGAATATGTATCCTGGATGGAAAGTGGAACAGAAGAAGGGTCAAAGAAAAGAAAGCTGCTTTCGTGAGGAACCTTAGTTCTGACTTCAGTGAATGAAGGCTTTGATCCTATATGTCCATCCATTATAAAGGCTAGGCCATAGCATTTCCCCGAATCAGTGTAGATTATTGGCCTAAGTGGCTTGATGACTTAGCTTTGGCCAGCTATCCTCCCTAATCCCTCCAGAATGCCCCGGGCAGGCTCTTTGTTGATAACTACTTTACTTGGCCACATTTGTGACCACTTTCCCACTTGGGATATCCAGGTGCATGATATGTGAATGTGTCTTAGAGTGTCAGCGTGGGGGTGTGTGTGTGTGTGTGTGTGTGTATACTCATGAGTGTTGGGGACCTTGCTAAGAGATGAGAGCCTATGGTACATTCATTCTCTTGCCGAAATTCAGCAAATAACCATAGAATAAGAACACAGTTCTGGCTTTACCTGTGCCCATGGTGAGTTAAGCACCTGAAAATTTTCTTTTAACAAGTTCATGAGATTTAGATATTTCTCGTCACTGTACTTGAATCAATCATGGAAGAGGATAGAGCAGATCACATTGCATGGGGCACTGCCAAGGATGAAGGTGGGATCATGGGCTGACCTAATGTAGAAAAAGTTACCAAAGGAGGAAAAAACAGCTTTAACTGAAATGTTTCCAATCACAAAGGAGCTGGACATCTCTTCTGCCTATACCTGGTTATGAGGATATAATTCCTCAAAGGCCAATGAATGTCTTTCTCCTGGACAATTTCCTTTACCCCTTATAGGAAAACTAGATAGGCTTACAATACCTGAGTATGAGAAGACAGAAGGGAGTTCCTTGGCCCAGCAGAGGGATTACCTGGTCAGTGGACCAATGTAGAGACTTTTAGAATGACTCCCAAAGCAAGCAGTATTTAGGACAGAGGATGGGTGAGCAGCTGGACCCCACATGCCCAGGAGGAAAGAACTGAAAACCAACCCTTTGTTTTCCTGAGCTCCTCCACCAGGCATTGGGCTTCTTCTTGAACTCTCTCTTCATTGCTTCTCTTTCCCATCCCAAAGTGCCTTAGGATCTGCAAATTTGCTTCCACCTCTCTCCACGACTGAAAACAATTCCTGGACAAAAGAGAAGAACAGGATATTGGTCATTCTAATGCTGGAGGTGCTGGAGGGCACAGTCTGCATGGTGACCCTGGAGTTTTTGGCTTAATTCATTGATCAAGTTTAATTTTATTTAATTCAAACCACAACGCAATATAGTATGGTAGGTATCAGGTACCTACCACATGAAATTCTTGTCCTAAGTGCTGAGAAAAGGCCAATAAAAATGAAACCAGTAACTATGCCACAGGGATGAAGGCAGGGAGGTACTTTCTACTGGATATACTCTACTGTACCATTTTACTTTTCAGTGACTCTTGAATAAAATAAATTTACCTTGTCCTTTGAGTACATCTTCACACAGTGGTATAATTCCTCTCCCTATAAAACCATCACCTTGATCAATTAGAGCTTCCTTCAAAATGTCATATCCATGTAGCACCACAACACGCTCAGTTCCAAAATAAAGAGTATAGATGGGGCCATATTTTTCAACCAGCTGTGAAAAGAATGCCAAGAAATAAGAACAGGTTCATTATGAAACTTTAGAAAAGTTGGAATTTACCCCCACAACCACCTCATAATGTGCTATATATGTCTACCTCTGTATGTATCGGACAATATGTTATTAATGAATTCTGGGTATATGAAGGCATAAGTTGTGGGACAACAAAGTAGTATTCTCATTCCTTTTAGTATGCTCCTCAGGAATCCCTGTCATTATATGGCACAGAATTTTTCTCAGGCACAGTTTCCCTCTGTGCTCCATTGGTACCTATCCAGTGTAAGGAGATTGTAAAAAGGGTCTGGGGTCCATGTTGGGTAGATGACCCATGGAAGATTTATAGGAAGACACGGAAAAAAGCCACATAGGATGCAGAGGGCATTGCCACCTTGTAACAAAAGCTGTCTACTCTTTTTGCCTCTCCTCTCATTTCTGAAATATTTGCAGTATATTTTTAGTCATCAACACTCAACTCCAGCTGATCTCTCCAAGGTTACTAATGGTCTCTGAAGAGCCAAAGCTGATGGCCTTCTCTCAATCCATATTCTTCTGGACCTCTTTACAGCATTTGACACTGTTAACTACCCTCTTCTCCCATATATTCTCTTCCCTCTGGGTTTCTCTAATCTCTCTTTCTATGTATCTCTCTCTTTCTCTCTCTCTCTTTTTCTCTCTGTCTCTCTCCCTCTCTCTCTCGATATACTAAAACCAAGAATTGCGGGGTGGCAGTCAGGATTAAGTTAAAACAGAGATAGGAAGAGGGTAAATATTACATAGCATGAAGGTTCTAGGGTCAGGAAAAAGAATCAAAATATTCTAAATTTTTAGGTCTTGTGCCCACAGGACTTTCAGTTAGGAAAGTACCTTAATTTAACTTTAGGACCCCAGTATAAAGAAGCAAACTGAACAAAGAAGAGAAGAATTATGTGTTACAGCTGGATAGTGTATTTTTGTAAGTTTGCTTTGGAGTCCAGATTATCTATATCTGAGAGGAAAGGAGTAGCATGGGTACTGAAGAAAAGGAAAAATAACCCAACTTCTGAATACATAAAACAAAACACCAATTAAAAGAATCCACAGAGATCATCTGGAGAAGGAAAAAAAAAGCTTATAAGCTATAAACTTTAAGAAACATGATGGTTAAATTTTATATTTGCAATTAAAAAACAATAAATTCTGCAAGTGCCTAGAATTTTAAGTATAAAGGAAAGGAAGTTGAAATAACATAAAACTATACTTCCCTCACCAGATAACTGCAGAAAGGAATCAAATAATATATTCTGAAAAGCAACTGAGCTCAAGATGCTACCCAAAAATGACATACACTGTTCACCTGAGAATAATCATTAATGAAAAACAATGGACATTCAATCAAAGAGAGAAACTTCAGCTGCTCTGAAAAAAATTAAAACCCCAAATGCATAGAAATTATTCAATTTGCAAACATCCTGGATAAGAGAAACACAATAAATGTAAATTAAATAAAGCTACCAAGAAAAACACAAATAATGAAGGAGATTACCCTATCTCCAGAAACTATTAAAAGGAGGAACAAACTAGAAAGAAAAAGAAATCTATTAGGCTTTTAAAGAGGAAATAGAAGAAGGATCATTCAGAGATTTCTTCCCAAAAGTACACAAGGGGGCAAATGTGGAAGCTGAATTTAAAGAAATCAAAGTCATGGTGGAAAAACAGTCCTGAAATACCACAGGCTAATTCATATACACCTTTCCTGTAGAAATTAATAAATGTTTGCTATGTGGGGCTAAACAGCAGAGTAGGAGCATGAATAAAAAGGTAGAGAGAAGGTGAGAGATAGAATTGAAAGAATAATGAAATCAATGGTACACAATGAAGGGAAATAACTCCTGTAGTCTTTAAAAAAAAAAGAGGGACTGTGGGAAAATGAGCAAGGTGTTGAAGGGAGGGATTGGAACATGGTAAAGGGAAACAACTTGCCTCAGTGATGAGAGGGGTCTTACTGAAGAACATTCCAATGTGCAGAGAGATATATTCTGTTACATGGATTTGGGGGACTTTACAATGGGTGTAATCTGAAACACATCTGAGAGAGAACTGGGATTCCCTGAATAGCATCTTTTCCAAGGAGAAAAGGGAACCAGAGTTCCTGGTAGAAACCAGAATCCGGAAGGGCTGGAGGGCATGGACCCAAACAGGAGAATAAATAGTAAAGAAGAAAGAAAAGTATCATGGTGAAAGCACATGGTAGAGTTGTCTTAAAATACATCAAGCCAAAATAACTGAAGAGACAAAGTACTGGCCATAAAAGGGAACAAAGGGTCAGCTAGGTGGCTCAGTGGATAGAGCACCAGCCCTGAAATCAAGACAACCTCAGTTCAAATTGGCCTCAGACTAAACACTTGACACTTACTAGCTGTGTGATCCTGGGCAAGTCACTTAACCCCAATTACCAAAAAAAGAATAGAAGGAACAAAAAGACCCTAATTCAGAAAAAAAAGCAATATTAGAGATAAATGGAGGAAATATAAAACCAACTTTCAAAATTTAAATGTGAATGGATCAAATAATCCAATAAAATTAAAGTGATATATTGACTAAGAAAACAAAACCCTACAATCTATTGCTTAAAAGAAACAAACCTAAAAAGTAAACACATCAAGAAAATAAAAATGAAGCCTTGAACAAAATACCCTTCATATCAATTTAATTCAAAATATTATAAATTCTAATTATATTATCTGATAGAGTAATAAGAAAATTTCAAACTGGTCCAGCCATTCTGGAGATCAGTTTGGAACTATGCCCAAAGGGCTACGAAACTGTGCATACCCTTTGATCCAGCAATGGTAGTACTACATGTGTATCCCAAAGAAATCATGGAAAAAGGAAAAGAACCCACATGTACAAAAAGAGTTACAACAGCTCTTTTTGTGGCAAAGAATTGGAAATTGAGGGGATGTCCATCAGTTGGGACATGGTTGAGCAAGTTGTGGTATATGAATGTAATGGTACACTATTGTTCTATAACTAACAGTAAGCAGGCTGATTTCAGAAAAACCTGGAAAGACTTACATGAACTGATGCTGAGTCAAGTGAGCAGAACCAGGAGAACATTGTACACAGTAACAGTAACATCGTGGGAAGATGAACTTTGATAGACTCAACTCTTCTCAGCAATTCAATGATCTGAGACAGTTCCAAAAGATTCATGTTGGAACATGCTATCCACAACCAGAGAGAGAACTATGGAGTCTGAATGGAGATTGAAGCATGCTATTTTCTCTTTTTTTCCTCTTTCTCATGGTTTTCCCCTTTTGTTCTGATTCTTGTTTCACAACATGACTAATGTGGAAATATGTTTAATATGATTGTATATCTATAGCCTATACCAGATTGAATGCCTTCATTAGGAGGGGGGAAAGGAGGGAGGGGGAACTCAAAATCTCATAAAAATGAATGTTGAAAACTAAAAACAAATTAAAAAATGTAAATAAAGATAAATAAGGAGATGATATTATCTGCAAAGGACCATAGAAGACACACCAATATCAGTGTATTTTGCAAATGTCATAGCATCTAAATTTAATAAAAGAAAATTAACTGAATTGTAAGAAAATACAGACTTCCCTACAATTCTAGCTCAGATGGGATACTGGCCCTCATAGTCGTGGCACTTTGATTTCAATCTATTCAATTAATTTCAATTCAATCCAACACTTAAATAACTGGGAACTGTGTTAATACCAAGTTTACATACCATCTTTGACGTGTGGGATGCAATGCACAAAAACCACCCTGAAAATGATCAGTTCTTTTCTTCTCCAGATAAATAATAGCCGCATCCCATTATATGTTGTAAGAGAACTGCTGCTGAATACTCAATGGCGAGGAGCTAATGCATTTTCCATGATCTACAGGGTACCCAGCAGGCTAACCTAAGCTGCTCACTCATTTCTTCTTTTATGCTTCCAACCCCACATTCCATTCCTATGTGGCAGAGTAGAAAACTTGTTGGCCCTGGAGTGAGGAAGACTTGATTTCACTTACTGGCTGTGTAACCTTGAACAAATCACTTACCATCTCAGTGTCCCTAGAAAACTCTCTAGTAGAATGTTGCAGAGAAAGTGCCAATGTGCATTAGGAGAGGACATCTACCAACAGGAACTCATGCCCTAATGGAATCACACATCTAATTTTTAAGAATGACATAGCACATAATTGCCATGATCAGAAGAGGGAGTTGTGGTAGGAAAAGCTTTATGCGGAGTTAAAGACTTGGGTTCAAATCCTGCTCTGCCACTCCCTGCTTGAATATATTTGTGTAAATCACTGAATCACTCAGGGCCTTGGTTTTTGTATCTGAAAAATGAGATGAGTAATGCTTGCCCCACTCACCTCACCTTGGTAAATCATGAAGTCCTAAAGAGAGTGCTATGTGAATTTTAATCTTGGCACCTTTTTTTTTTCTCCTTAAAGTCCAGCTTTAACCTTAAATCAACCTCCTCTCCTAATCACTGTGGCTATCACTGATAGGTCAATAATAGATCCCTAGCTAAGCCCTATTTGGTTATTGTTTGGGCCCTGATTGGCTCAGAATGAATGTAAATGGCATTTGTTTTTCTTTTGGTCTGAAACCCTGAAGGTCTTCCCCTCTCAGATCTATTTTTTTTTTTAAAGAGGTGATTCGTTGCCTCATTTTTTAAATTAAGCATCCCTGAGTGGGGTTGCCTTAGTCAAACTGAGATGTGTTAAAGACTTGAGCTTGAAAAGTCCAAGGCCTCCCATCGCAACTTACCCACATCCAGACATCCTGATTGGATCCAGATGGCTGCAGGGGAGAGTGAGGCTAGTGACTTTGCACAGCTCTCCCTCACTTAAATCCTATTCACTTGCGTGTCATGACATCACCTCCCTGATGTCATTGTCCTTGAGAAAAAAAGACAAACAGCAGCAGCAGAAATCACTGAATCACTCAACATAGGTCACGGATCAAGAACTTTTTCATGTTGGAAGGCCACATTAATATTTAGCTGTAATCAAATAAAATAAACATATAAAGATGAACAAAATGTATTAATAAAAATAAAAGGATTTGTTCTGTAGAATTTGGATTCAGTCAAAAGGCTGCACTTAAAGACCTAGAAGGCCACATATGGCCTTAAGGTCTCAGGTCCCCACCCCCGGCCTAGGTTTCTGCATTTGAAAAATGAGGTGAGTAATGCTTGACCTGCTCACCTCACAGAATTCTTTTTTTCTTTTCCTTTCTCTTCCTTCCTTTCTTTCTTTCTTTCTTTCTTTCTTTCTTTTCTTTCTTTCTTTCTTTCTTTCTTGCAAGGCAATTAGGGTTAAGTGACTTGCCAAGAGTCACACAGCTAGTGTTGTACCGAGAAATCAGCGAGTGAGATCCACATGTAATTTAAGATGTGGATTTTTTAGTGTGCGGCTGCCAGGGGTATGCACATCCAAATCAAGCAGCACCCATCAGGGGTCCAGCTAGGGTTTATATAGAAAAGAGCATGGGAAAGAAATGCGAGGAATACTGATGAGGGAATCCAAAGATGCAGGTGTCTTTGGGGGCTATGGATGGGAAAGTGCAGGGAGTATACAGGACAGGGAGGGGGATGGATCTTTGAAGTCTGGCAAGAGGAAGAGTTCTTGGGCTGGTCAAGGACACCCCTCTCCCTCTGTCTTGACATGAGAATGCTCTGCAACAAGGGAAAGCTTTCTCACAACACAGGAACTTCCTGAGGAATTGGGAGGCTTCCAGACACATGATCTGAGGGCCGGGGCCTGAGCAGCCCAGCTCTGTGTAGCTGTACCAGGGAGAGAGATAAGGGTCATGCTGAGGCCCATGCATGAATAACTGCTAGGCACAGTGTCCTTGGGCTGGGGAATGGTTGTTAGAGACAGTGTTTCTGAGACTAGGGAGAAATTGGGGCACAAGCACCTGAGCACCCCATTATTACGGATCAGAGATCACACAAAGCAGACCAGGTGTTCTGGTCTCTGGTATAAACATAATTATCTAAAGCAATTATATTGCAAGCTTTCTTACCCATTTGCCTTGGAGGTACAGGCTATGCTGAGCTTTGGGAGAGTACATTTCACTATTGTTTAGATTTAGGAGGGAAGAGGTCTGGGGCAAGATTAAGCACCAACTTTTGCTTTCCATGGCTTAAAGGGCCCTACTACCTAAATGGCAAAATAATGTTCTGTATTACACTAGTAACTGTTGTGTGTCTGAGGCTGGATTTGAACTTGGGTCCTCCTGACTCCAAGGCTGGTACTCTATACACTACATTACCTAGCTGCCCCACCTCACAGAATTCTTATGAAAATTGAAGGAAACAATGTCTGTAAAGAATTTGGGAAGCCATAAAGTGCTAAAGAGACCATAAGATCATAGATGTAGAGCTGGATGGGAAATCACAAGTCACTGAGGCCAGTGGCTTCATTTGAGAGATGATAAACTGAAGCCCTAATTCAGTCAAGTGACTTGACCAAGGTCACATAGGGAGTCATCAGCAGAGCTTGGATTTGAAACCAGATCCTTTGATTCCAAGTCTAGGTCCCTTCCCAGGATACCAAGCCACCTCACTCTGTGCTGCTGGCCTCACAGGAAACTTGTGATGGTCAAAGGAGATGGTGAATCCAAATTGCATTTTACAGTAAAAAATGCTATAATTGTGGCTGTGTAGGAGTTGAACAAGTATATAAAAGTCTGATAATGATGTAGCTCTTCTCATTATTACCTCCAATCTGAACTTCACATAGAAATTGGAATGAAGTAGAATTCGATCTTGTCCAGAATGCCTTGCAAGGTTTGGGGGTTTGATGCAGCCAGTGCCATTTTACCCCCAAATGTAAGCACCTGGAAGACCTTACCACCCAAACTAGATCCTTCTGGCTTTTCACCATGACATTGCTAAAAGCTGTTTATGAGCATGTGTCTCCCTGATAATAATGATCAGAAGGTTGATTCAAAATGATCTCTCTTTAGCATCACGTCACTATTGTCCTTGGAACATGCACCTTTTATCAGTGTAAAACCAATGAATAGGAATTAAATAATAGCAGTGCTGGATTAGGTACACACATAAGTTTTGAAGAAATTTAAACCTGCTCAGAACTTCATGCCAAGTTCAGAAGAGTTTAATGAGCGGTCACCAGGGTCCATGTCTCCCATAAATTCAATTTAAGTGAGTCCCCAAAGTATCAAAGTACAGAGGCCTTCTGACACTAGACCCAGTGTTCCATCCACTGTACCACACAGCCTTCCTCAGTATTTAATGAGTCAGACAGAAAATTTAACAACCCAATGATTCCACTTCTTTAAAACATTTTATTGAAAAACCCTAGAGGTTTTGTATAAAATTGGAAGCCAATTAAGAACCTGAAGATTTGAACATCTAGCAGTTTAATCATGAAAGACTTTTATCTAACCCCTTGAGAAGTATTTTCTTGGAGTTGAGGGGGAAGAAGAGGGCAGCAAGGAGGCGCAGTGGATAAAGCACCAGCCTTGGATTCAGGAGGACCTGACTCTAATCTGGCCTCAGACATGTAACATTTACTAGCTGTGGGACCTTGAGCAAGTCACTTAATCTCATTGCCTAGCCCAAAAAAAAAAAAAGAGAGATAAAATCCTGGTCTTTCCTAACTCTTGGTTATACTTTCCTTCCTTCCCCCATCATTGGTCAGATGAGGATCTCCTGAATTTCTAAGGATATAAAAGATATAAGAGTTTCCACAAGCATCCTAGCAGCATTATTGGAATAACTGATGGCTATGTCTACCTGCTGATTCAAGGACATGACTCCATAAAGAAGGTCAGCTTCAAGGCTCTACGAGAAGCCTGGCAGAAAAACACTTGAGCAGAAAACCTTGAAGACTCCATAAGAAGGCCTTGCAAGAATGTGAGTTTCCTCTTTACCAGATTTGTATTCTTGAGCCCATATCCACCTAAACTACATATGTACTTGTAGGAAACATGACACGGGTTTCTGGGGAGATATTTCATATCAACAATTCTTATTATATTACCCTTTCCCAAAAGCAAATAAAGTCTGGCTAACCATTAATATTACACACCAGGGTTGTGAGCTGTTAGTAATAGAAAAGCTCATCCCAACTCTTCAGGGCTACAGCCAGCATGTGTGGGAGTAAGAGGTACCCAAGCCCTGGAGACCCAGCCTGCTAAGGCAAGTGGGAGTTGCTGGAGTAGGTCCACAGCATGGGACACAAATAGGCAAAGAACAGACACGGAAATAGTATACGAAACTGTGACCTTCTGTTATGCACAAATGGGTGGTTTGGAAGGGTATTTTCAATTTAATGTGATAGTAATAAAACTACCTGTTTGTCTTTGTCCTTTTCTGGGCTCTTCTCCGCTACCACAAAATAAACTATACTTAATTAGCATTATTAGAGTTTGAATTTCATCACTAAAAATTTGTGGGGTTTTTTTGCTTGTTACCTATATACCTACATAACATCCTTGATTTTGCCTTTTGGCCTGCAAAGCCTAAAATGATTACCGTCTGGTCCTTCATGTAAAAAGTTTGCTGACTCTTGCTCTAGGCTGCCAAGACCTAGGTTTTGTTGTACCCTTGAAAATGTTTCTTAATTAATTCAACCTAAAATTCCAAGGCAAAATAGTACTTATGTAAATCTTATACCACAGTAAAATCAATTGAATGGCAACTAACATTACTTGAAATACAAGAAATATCAAGCAAATTTATACACCTCTTGTGAAGTCAAAAGTAAAAAAAAAAAAAAAAACAAAGAAGCAGCAAAATCTCCCTTACCACACAAATGTGCAATGGAGATTATTTTAGCTCGAACTGTTTCCAGTAGCAAACATTGCTTCTGTCCTCTATTCAAGTGCAAAAGAAACTGCCATGTTTCATATTCCATTTAATGGTGCAGTTGAAGTGGTATCACTTGCATAATTCTGTCAAAGGACATGAAGTTAACCTGGCACTGTCTCTTCTGGATGCAGACAGGCTGGCTCTTTGGAATCACTGTGTCCCTTCCTTGATGTGCACTGAACATATTTTTGTTGATCTCGTATCAAAATTTCCCAAAAATTGACATAAAGCTCATTTCCCTTTTATTTTACAGACTCTTTTTTTTCTCTTTTTGAAATTTGGTTTTGGAATGATTTGAGGCTAATGGATCCATAAGACATTAAGAAATAATAAAATAGTCAAAATTCCACACAAAAAAAATGGAAAGAGGAGGAAGTAGGAATGTGGGCAATCAAAAAATGTCTGGAGAACTTTTACTTCTTTATTTCCATGATCCTGGGTTCTTCTGGTTCTCTGCTACACTTCTGGCTGCTTATTCTCAATCCACATGGCTGGATCATCAGACATCTCCTACCCACTAAGGCTCTTTTCTGAGCTCTTTTTTATTTCTTGTAGGCAAACAAAAATAGTTTTCCATTAACTTTGATTAGTTTAGCAACCAAGAGGTTATTAAGGAAATGTGTATAAATTTGCTGCTTTGGAATCGGTTCCTGCCTCTAACCTCAGTGAAAGTGGGAGTATGCAAGTACTTTGTCCAGTTCATCTTGTTGGCAATCAGTCTGTCAACAATCAAATTTCTATTGGCCTATGGGTGTGTGTTGAGCTAAAGAGAGAGCAAATATCCAAATTCAACTTGAAAGAAGGTGGTTGTAGAATACATATCCTAAGATCTTGTAGGCTTCACCTCACATTGAAGAGTTTAGCTCCTGTCTTCTTATCTCCTAAACTGCATTGGCCTTAATAGACTTCTTAACCATGCTTGTTCTTTCTCCACCTTGAAAAACATTCTTCTTAGCTGTGTAAACCTGGGCAAGTCACTTAATTTCAATTGCCTAAAAAAAAAAAATTCTTCACGAGAAAGAAGATGACAATGAAA